TGGGAAAAGAGAGAAGAAATCTCGAAGAAGGATAAGAAAACGAAAAAGGCCAACAAGAAAAAGAAGAAAAAGAAAAAAGAAGATAAAGAAAATAAAGAAAATCAAGTACAAACAGGAGAGCAGAAAAACAAGAAGAAAGAACATACAAAAGCAATAGCATTCAAAAACATGAAAAACCTAGTGTAAGATGGTAGGAAACCAGATTGGTCATCATGGGTAAGATATAAAGTTAAAACAGATTTAAATGGCAGTACTGACAAGGTGGGTAGTCACCAGCCTGTAACCGAAAGAATCAAATTCTTAGTGAGTTAAGGATCTGGAGGGAGGCCAAGGACTACTGAGGCAGGTCGCACCTAGGCGTAAGCTGAGTGTGAGTTTCTAGTTTGGTTAGATTAGCAATAGCTACAGATAGATATATATAATTCTTGAATAGCTTAATCTCAAATAAACAGAGGCAGGATTGCCAAATTAAAAAAAAAATAATAAATTATTAGATACTCCAATTGGTAAATTTAAATTAAAATTAGTAAGTACCTTGCAATTTCTTCGTTGAGTAATCATATGACTTAAAACTGAATATTATTTTTGACATATTGAATAAAGTTTAATAAATTGTATATCATGAATGATACTTTTTTTAGTGGTAAATCAAGGCTATAAAATTCACTAATTTATGCTTGGTGAATAATAATAAATTATTAAATACTCCAATTAGTGAATTTTAAATTAAAATAAGCAAGTGTCTTGCAATTTTTTCTCAATTTTCATTAAATAATCATTTAATAGAATCATGGTATAACTACACCAACCTATAAAGATGTTAGTCAGAAACTCTTTTTAATCATAATTGTTTGTCTTTTACTTTACAACAGTGGCAAAAATTAAAACGAAGGAATAAACAAAAACATTTCTTTATTATAAAAAAAATAAAATAAATAATGCTGTATATCATTATCATCATAAAAATTAATGCACAAACAAATATTTCAAAAATAAAATATCTGAGAGTATTCTAAAAAAAAAAAAAAAAATAAAGCTATTCAAAATTTAGAAGTAGGCAAACATAAAGCTTTAAAAATAATAATAGCATAATTATATCAAATTACATTATCACAAGCCTTAACTTTATTTAATTTAGTAACAATTTTTCTTTTTCGTATTAAGCTTCTTAATCTGTAAAAAACTTTAGTACAATTATCTCAAATCTACTCGATATTTTTTCTCGTCTTTTTGTTTACAAATATCTTTTTGTTTGCAAATATTTTTTTTATTAACAATATATTTTTTGTTGAGATTTTGGTATATTTGTTTGCATATAAGTATAAAGTATCTAACAAAAGTTTACTTTTATAAGTTTCTGTTAGTTGTACTATGTCTACTAAAAATCTTGAATCCTTTATGTCTACTGAAAATCTTGAACCATCTATATCTACTGAAAATTTTAAACCTTCACAAAATCCTCTATTTACTTATGATGTGCTTTCCTTTCTGGATAGAGATTTTTTGGATAATAGTGGTGATAATAAAACTAGTACAGAAAAGCCAGATGATTGTGTTTTTGCTAAACAGTATAAAAACAAGCATTCACTTTGAAATTATTTGTTTCAATTGGCAGATAACCATATTATCTGTAAATTGTATAATACTAAGTATAGAAATAGAAGTAGTATTAGTACAATTAAATGACATTTCAAAAGTAATCATAAATCAGTATATCAGAAATAAAAATCGTTGCCCTGAGTTGAATATTATGGTTCTTGTGACAAAGAAAAAGTAAAAAGATTAAACAAGCTCCTAGTCTGATAGATTGTGTATAATTAACAGGCATTTTGTGTTGTAAAAAATAAAGATTTTTAGGTATTTATCTTTAAACTTAATCCTCATTATAAACTCCCTTCAAGACAAACGATTTCAGTTTATATTTAGCATATATATAAATATAAACATAAACAATTATGTATTTTTTTAAGAAATTTCAAACATAAAATTTCAATGATAACTGATATATGGTCTGCACCTACTAACCAAGCATTTCTTTCTATTACTTTGCACTAGATTGATAACAAATGGTATTTATGATATATACTTCTTAATTTTATTCTCCTCTATGAAAGACATATAGGCCAATACAATTTTTAAAATAATTAAAGACTTTGGGTTAGGAAGCAAACTCTTATTATTAACCACTGACAACACTAACAATATAGATGCTTGCAGTTAGCACCTTACTAATATGTTAGAATTCAATTATAGAAATATGGCTTTTCATTAGTTGCGGTGTGTTGTTTATATGCTTAACCTTGCCATTGTAAATAGTCTTTCTAAAATTACTGAATCAATTAAAAAAGAGTATGAATTTATAAGTTATATTTGTTGTTCATAGCCATATATAAAAAAATTAAAAAAAAATCTTTGCAATAAAGGGCAAACCATTTCTAGTATTCAACTTTGACTGTAAAATGTGATAGAATTCGCTCTATTTTATATTAAACAAATTGTGTAAAATTCGTTCTATTTTATGTTAAATAAATTGTGTAAAATTTAAAAAATAATTGATATATTAGTAGTTTCAATGCTACAACTTAAACGGGTATTTATGAATGATCAAGATTGTGACAATATTAAAACCATGATGATGCTACTAGAACCTATTTAAGAAGCTATCAAATTACTTTTCTCATCAAGCCATCTGATCATTGGAGATGTGTGCACAGTTTTTTTTGTAATTATTAACTATTTAACTAATACTAAAGATGAAACAAATACAATGAAATTACATATTGCAGAAAAAATCTTTGGAAAGCTTAATAAATATTGGGATGAATTACAGTCTGCTTTTTCAGAAGCAGTATTGCTTAATCTGATGTCTAAATTGTCTACCTTTAATTCTGGTCTTAAATGAGTCAATGTACGTTAAATAATTTTTAGAATCTATTAAAACTATGCTCTAGTTGTTGAAAATATAAGTGAACAAATCTTAGAATCTAATCAATTAATCTTGGCTCACAACTACTTTTGAATTTAGCTAAAACAGATCTACAATGAGATATTAAAAGAATATTTGAATATGTCTGATGAAGATGTTGACACCTTCGCGTTTTGGAAATTAAAAACTTTAAATTTACAATAATTACTTCTTATTAACATGACTCGTAATTACCTTATCACAAAGCAACAAGTATGCTTAGTGAACAGGCATTCTCAGTTGCCAAGCATACATTAAGCCCAGTGTGAAATCACTTAGATAATAAAAAAATATGCATAATTCTCTATTTAAAAACATGATGTGATTCAGAGTTAGTAACTAAAATTTTTGTGTTTTCTTAAAGATTGTAGATCTTGAATTATCAAAACATATAAATGAGATGTCTGTATCTTCAAACACAGTTGTTCATGGAATGTTGACATATATTAAATCTAAATATATTATCAATCATAAGTATAAACATGATAAGAAACTAAATAAGTAATACAACCATTTTTTTTTAAAAAAAAATATAAGATCTTGCCTCAGATCTTTATTAAATATTTGTAAAACTATTACAAAGTGCAAATTTTATAATGAAAGTTATAGTCTATATTGTATATGCATCTTTTTTTTATAATAAATTTTAAATAAAAAAAAAAAGAGATTTGCAGTTTGAGTATTATAAATTGTCTATATAAACTGCTAGGGTTGGACTTAAATTAAACCGGTTTCATGCAGGAGATACAAACTAATTCCTAACTAGTTCAGGACCAGACTTTTTAGGAACTGGACCGGGACTGGACCGAACCGGACTTTTAACATCCCTATTATCATTATATTACTAATCAAAAATTTATTACTGCCGAAATCAAAAACTTATCGAATCGGCCAAACATTCATTCGTCAATTTTTTGCCGGATGACCCAAAAATAATGAAAACAACTGTAAATGCGGATATCCTTATCCGTCAATTTTAGGCGGGTAGATTTCGGATTAAGGATTAAGGATTATTCGAATCAATCCGAAAAGTATGTCAATGTGATCTATCGTCATGATTCTGATTGGATTAGGTTTAATGAATATACGGAACATTAACTATTATACTAAGCTTTGATTTATTTATCTAGTTGTGAGTATTAAGATCGTTTAACAACTAGGAAAACGAGATTTGTTGAGCTACCGTACGAAGCACTGTTCCACATTTTATTCTGATTGATTGAATAATAGTGAATTGCTTACTTATATTTATCTCATACTACTCTTGTAATTTTTTTTTTTTGCCCATGTCTAGACTTTCTTTGCTATGCTCCGGATAATAAATTATTGGATTTAAATTGAGAAAACGGACTAGCACCCTATCTGCACCTTAAACCTTTTTTTTTAAGTGAAATGGAACAGTGAGTTAAGATCAATTCGGATTTACTAATTTTAATTCGGATTTACTCAGATTCGAATTATCATCCGGATATGCTAAAGAAGATCCGAATTTAATCCGAATGGCCCCTGAAAATAGGATTGAAGTTCCACTTGAAAGTGCACAAAAATCTAAAATTATAAAAAGAATAATCTGATAAAGCAATGACATGTCTACTATTAATTTATAAATATATTGTATCTTAATTTTGTTACTAAAAAACAATATTCCTCTTGAATTTGACTTATAGCTCAAATCCTATCGAGAAATACAACTTTTCGTGAGAGAATTAACTTTAATTTTTGTACCAATTTATTGAAGGAATTATCTTTAGTTGACGAATCATCTTTTTACATCCATTCTTTGTTAGATATCCCATCATAACGACCGTTCAAAGCGGATCATTCGTTGATATTATCCTTAAACTCTTGTTTCTTTTTTTGGTAAGCTTTTGTATTGATGCCATTGATTCATTAGGGTGTAACACATTAAAATTGTTCAAAACTATGTTTACAAATTCACAAATTTATTAAGTGCGGATTTTTGATAGTACACGAATGTGATCCAAGACACCCTTCTAATATGTATTAACTTACCAATCTGTTATTTGTATTTATATATTTGCATTGCGGCACGTTTGTAAAATACCCCAAATTTTTAAATTTTTGACCACCGATTGTGAGTCATTTAATTGACTTTACATATATGTAATGCTATTATTCTGGTCTAATGATGTAAATTTTGTTATCCATAAAATACTGTCAAGGTAACTGCAAATTATTAAATTGTATGTTCGTAATATATGTAATGATAAATATAAAATGCGTTATTTGAATTGTACAGAAATTTAAAAATGGGTTGCACTAATGGAAAAAATGGGTTAGACGTATTGGAAAATGGGTTAGACGCATTGTTAAAAACTTAAATTTGGGGACCAAAAATTAGTTAAATTTGACAAATTCGTCGTAATGATTATAATAATAGTATAGGATAGAAAATATTTTTATATCAATTATCATTATACTGTAGATTTAGCAATCGAACCTCTAATATTTTTGCTGTCATTTGTCACGTCTAACGCTAAGTTGTTCATAAATTTCTTAAGTGATGAACGAATCGGAATTGTCTCAAACACTATTAAAGTTATTTTTTAACAGAAAGTGATTCACTCATTTCATGCTCTTGGAAGATGTTCGCTTGCTATATTAATAACTATTTTCGGACTAGTACAAAATTTGAATCGATAATCTAAAACATTTTTTTTTAGTTATAAATAAATTCGAATACTCATAAATAAATACAATTAATTATGACTTTTCAACCATATTTTTAAAACTACGTTTTATTATTTTTTTTTTTATACTTTATTAAACGATTTCGAACATTTTATAAATTTATTAAATACATGAATTGTAAAACCAAAAAACTATCTCTTTAAAAATACTAATTTTTTTATGCAAAAATTAAATAAATTCGATTTAATTTTGTCGTTTCTGTAAAAATTCGTCAATCTTGATCGTCTTGAGTATTTCGTAGTTGCGTATAAACCCTATATTTATATTGATAAAAAAATAAAAAATAAAAAACGATAAATAAATTGCATCATAATTGAAAACCAAACAAGAACGTTCGTTTGATTTTATGCATCTGTTCACTACCCACAATACTATTAATATCCGTTTTCCGTTTACCCGACCTTCATAAGGAGAAATTACCTTAATTGATCAGTGCTGCAAACAT